GGATTAAAGGCATGTGATCCCAAGTGCTGGGATCATCTTTGTGTGAGCTGTTTCTCAGATTCAATCTCATGTAGCCCAGGGTGGACTTGAACTGACAGAGCTCCGTCTGCCTCTGTCTCCCGAGTGCTGGAATTAAAAGTGTGTGCCACCAATGCCTGGACTCTTTGGCTAACTAGTGGCTTAGCTCTACACTCTGATTTTCAGGCAAGCTTTATTTGTTAGATCAGAAACAAAATATCATTACATATATACTATCATCTAAACTAATACCCTGAAGCCCTCTGTAGCAAGAATAAACTTATTTCCATCCAGGGTTCTTTTTCACATTCACTGTATTTAAATAATGCTCTATAGCAAATTCTTGCCAATAAAATTTGGGGAAACGTCCCTTTCAGTTCTTAATAAATAGTCTGTGAGCAATAAGCAGAATCCAAGATCCTAGGAATGGAGGAGTCACAAAACATAAGGTGCACTAAAGTAGGTTACCACAAGACAACAACCGTGCTAACCAGTACATTCAAACTTCTGCATGTTAAAGCACTAAAATTTTATGGTAAAGTTATTGCCATAATTGGCATTAGCAGTAAAGACAGAAATTTCTAAATATTTTAATCCCTCTTAATTAAAGGTGTTTATAATGAATATTCTGGAAAGGTTGCTTAAAATTCCTTTAGACCACCTTTCAAAATCTAATAATATTCCACCTTGATTTTGTTGTAATTTCTTTAGTTTAAACAAAAAGGATGAACATTTCCAGTTAAAAATGAACTATCCACATACTTGGCTCTTTTGTTTGTTTGGAGTAGGGGGCTTCCTTTTTTGTTCTGGGGGAGGGGTGGTTTGGTTTGTCAGCCTGAACTGACCTGAACTACAGGGTTCTGCCTCTGCCTCACAAGGGGTGGGATTATAGGCATGTACCTATAATCAAAGCAGACTGAAGAGGATGTGAGGATAGAGGAATCCCTACTCACTGCCGGTGGGAGTGTAAACTAGTACAGCCAGTATAGAAATTACCTCAAAAGAATTAACAACAGGGCAGCCATATGATCCAGCTATTATCACTCCTATATATGTCTACTCAAAAGACTCTGTATCCTGACAGTAATAGACATTCACATTCATATTTATTGATGCTATATTCATGATAGCAAGGAAATGCAATCAGCCTAGATACCCATAATGAAAATGTGGTATACAGACACAATAAAATTCTAGTCAGCTGTAAAGAATAATTTTCAAGAAAATGGGTGGCCTGGAAAACATATTAAGCCAACTGATACAAATCCACAAAGACAAAACCAACATTCTCTCTTAATATGCAGAGTCTAGCTTGTGCATACATATGTATATAAGAGGGAATAAAGTTGGATATTTATATTCCCACTTATACTAGAATGGACTCCAAGAATGAGTAAAGAGACTCTGAGGAGGGAGACAAAGCATGAAAGAACATACATGACATGAAATCAGACAGGGGTACAGGAATAAAACAAAGGGGTTAAAGAAACAAATTTCTTTGAAAATACAACAGTGATACTTAACACCTTGTATGTTAAAGTTTTATGTAAATCAAAGTATATTTTGCCTTCTAATAAAGCTAACCCTATAAACACGTATATTATATATAATATATTCACATATATCTAATTTTCACGGTTATGTATATCAAAACTTTCACTGAATACTTTGAAATTTTAGAAAACCTCACTGTATATATACAAAATTTAGAAAGTATATTAAGATTATTGTTAAAACAAAGAAAATCTAACTAGAGGCACTGATGTTTCTAAGAACCATTTTTTATTTTTAATTATAAGTGTGTGTGTCTATAAATAATTATGTGGAAGCCAGAAGAGTGTCAGATCCCATAGAGCTGGCATCAGGTATCAGCTGCCCAACATGGGTGCTGGGAGTACAACTCTGGCCCTCTTAGCACTATGTCACTCAGCTGCCTCTCTAACCTCAAAATTAGTATTTTTCAAGAGACGACATGAACTTAACTCTCAATGAAATTATTCCCACATTCTCACTGCTCTGTCTTCACCCCATCCCAAAAAGGAAAGGGGGCACCTTAAATTAGAACCAAGTAAAATGGCAACTGCCTATAACTGCATAAGGAGGCTGAGGCAGGAGGAGGATAAGTCTGAGGTAAGCTTACATCACAGGGCAAGCCCCTCAAAAAATTTTTTAAGAACCAAGTAATTTTAAAACTTGCGATTCTTTTAATCTTTCCTGGTTTTACTTTATACTCCTCACTATTACGGTTTTCCAAAAATATAAATCAAAATTAAATTTAAAAAAACTTAAAATTCAATGACTAACATTTATCACTCTATACAAAATAATGTGAAATAACAAATTATCATAAGATGGTAGAAAAGCTTTGCTGACACTCAGAAAGGGACTCCTAAAGGTTTTATTTACCAGAATCAATAACATGAACTGGAAGAACACTTTTATGACACAATTCTAGTTCTCTGATCCATTTTAATGTTTGATTGCATTCAGACAGGTACAGAACTTAGAATCCTCCCCCTGGGGATATGTTACAAAAATTCTCAAGTAATTAAACTAAGGGATTATTCAAAAAATAGTAAGCACATCAAAATACAGCTATTTACTATAAACTCACATGTAAAGCTCCAATGAAAACTTTATTTCTAGAAAAAGTACATCTCATATGCTCACAAACACTTTCTATATCTCGAAGGCCTAAAAAAAAAAAATACTTCTTTTGCCCTTCAGTGTTGGAAACCAAACCCAGGGCTTCACACATGCAAGGTAAGTTGTACACAAAGCTACATCCCCAGCTGTATTTTCTTGGTCCCTAAGTCAGTTAAGCAATCGTTCTAGGTAATTAATGAGAATTTGCACTTAAAAATGCGTTTCCACACTTATAATCAGAGTTGTTGCATGCAGTACTAAAATAAAGCATCCACTACGTGCCACGCATGTTTTCTCATCCTAGTCTTACAACCTTACTGAAAAGATTAAAAACAAACAAACAAAAAACCCTCTAGATATTCTAATGAGAAAGAGAATACGAGAACAAATACGAATTTCATGGCCATGGTTCTAATAGAAAAGTTAAAGAGCTTTTCCATTGAACTGCACACATCAGGCTGTTCTTCAAGTGCTGGTAATAGAAAACATCTTTAACTCCTCCTCTCCCCCACCCCCAGCTTCCCAGCGAACAACATACTGTTTCTTTGTGAGACCAGGTTCAGAAAGAGCAGTCTCTGGCCATCACACTGACCACAGCCTAAAAGCATCCAATCTGTCCTGGGACTCCACCCACAGGCAAGGTCTAACTGTGTGGGCTAAGTAAGCACCCCTGTAAAGACAGTGAGGTAAATGGGCAAGGCAATCAGAGGCCGTTTATAAATAGTTCTGCGAAGCACTCCGTCTATCAGCAGGTTTACCTTTAGGTCCGTTTTCTGACTTGGTCCTTCTAAAATAGCTTTCCAGGAGCACCCCGGGAAGCCGTTCGGTCTAGGTCGGGGAGACTTGAGGAAAGCATGTTTGGTTGTCCAGGGAGGGCTATGCTGACGGGCAACTGAGACCCCGAGAGGATGAGGTAGCATCTCAGGGCGCTGGGCTGGGCTGGGCTGCCCCTGTGTACACGCGGCTCAGCCAAACTCCTGAGCACAATCCCCCTAAACATCCTAAGCTACAGAAGCTGGTCCGCCGAAGGTGACAGCTCGGGGAACTTCCTCTTCCTTGGCGACCTCCTCAGATCCAAGTGTCCACGCCTTTCCCTCCAGGAGGCAGGGCAGGAGCAATTTCAAATTCCCCAGATCGATCCGACCCCACCAGCAGCACAGGCCACGAAGGCCAGCTCCCCTTCCTGCCCCCGCCTTTCCCGGGTGATTCTCTCCCTTCGCGTTAGGGGAAAAAAAAAACCAACAAATCTGGCCAACGCTAAAGTAATCTCCAAAAACAACAACAAAGACGTCTTTACTCCGGCTCGCCCCGCACGCAGCCTTCGGGGAAGGGCGGGCGGGGGGGGGGGGGCTCTGAGGAGCCCGTCTTCCGAGATGGACTGTTTGGATTCACTTTCCCTCGGGCCCCCCCCCCCCGCCAGCCGGGGAAAGGCCTGCAGTTCGAACGCCCCAATCTGCCTCCGTCTCCCCTCGGGAGCCGTGAGGGGCGGCCCAGGCGACCGCCACCCGCGTGTCCCGCCCCCGACCCTCACCTGGCCAGGCCCGGGGCAGCGCCCAGGGCCCGCGCGAGCACCGCGTCCCGGGAGCGTCTGGGGAGGCCGGCGGGCGGGCGGGCGCGAAGACGGTTAGGCCGCGCTGCAGGCCGGCGCGCTTCCTGCCGCGGCCCCAGCCTCGGGCAGCGCGGCCCGAGCCCCCGCCGCTCGCCGCGGGGGCCGCGCTCCCACCCGCGTCCGCCGCCCGCCGCGGGGCCCCGCCGAGCGCTTCTCACCTGCGAGGCTCCCGAGCTCCGGGCCTCGAAGCGGGAGGACCACACCGCTCAGGGGTCCCCCGACGCCCGCCGGCCCCCTCCCCACACGCACACGGCCGGGAACCCGCGCCCCTTGAGGCGACGCGGGCCGGCTCCCGCCGCCCGCCACCACACTCACACACACACGCACACACACGCGCGCACACACGCACACCCACTCGCCGCGGGGCCGCCTCCCGCCCGCCAAAGTCCCAACTCACACACCCACACACGTCCCTCGCCCACCTCACTTCCCCTCGCTCCACTCCCGGTCCTACTCCGGAGCGCGGAAAACACTCTACCTCATTCTCCTCCGCGGGCCCAGGACGAGCAACAGCAGCCATTTCCCCGCGGCAGGGGAAACACCACACAAACACGCGCGCGCGCACCAGGCCCCCACAGATGCTCCCCCTCCACACCTCAGACGCAAACACAAACACCCACGCCCGCCCGCCCGCTCGCTCGCCCCGAGGGCCCGCGGCGGCGGGAGGCCGGGCCCCGGAAGGCGAGCGCGCCGAGCCGGCCGCCCAGGCCCGCGCCCCTCTCCTCACCTGCATTCAGCGCGCCAGGGTCCGGGCGGCGACGGCGACGGCGGCGGCGGGGCGACTGCTGGGGCTGCGGCGGCGGGGGAGGCGGCGGCGGCGGTGGCGGCGGGGCTGAGGGCAGTAAAGACATGCAGGCAGCCCGCCGGGGGGAGAGGCACCGGCCGGAGGGGACGCGGGGCGGGCGGGCCGGGCCGGGCCGCCTGAGGAACCACCGAGGCGGCGGAGGGAGGCCGAGGGGAGCGGAGACCAGACGGATCGGGACGGGGACGGGGCGAGGGGAGACGCGGGCCCGGCCGCGCCGCGCAGGAGAGGGCCCCGCCAGGCGCCGGAGACGCGGCGAGCCGCTGCTGCGAGAGCCTCGCGGAGCCCGGCCTTGGCCTTGGCCTTCTCCTGTGCTGAGGCGGCCGCCGCTGCGGGGGTTGCTGCCGCCGAGCCGGGTTTGCTTGCCGAGGCCGGGCCGAGTCGAGTGAGAGAGAGAAAGAGAGAGAGAGAGAAAGAGAGAGAGAAAGAGAGAGAGAGAGAGAGAGAGAGAGAGAGAGAGAGAGAGAGAGAGAGAGAGAGAGAGAGAGAGAGAGGAGCGTTCGGTGCCTTCGCTCTAATTCACACACGCTCACACCCCCGAGGGCCAGGGGGAGAGGAGTCCGGGCGCTACCGCTTTGGAGATTAATAACAAGGTGCAGAGAGTGCGAGGAGGAGGAGGAGGAGGAGGAGGAGGTTGATTGACGTGGAGGGGCTGGCGGGAGTCAGTCACTCCCCAGCGCCGAGGGGTGGGGTGACGGCGGGAAGGGGCGGGGCTCCGGCGCCGCGCTGCGGGAGGTGCGCGTGCGCGCGGGGCGGCCGAGCCGCTGGCTGGCTTCCTTCCTCGCCCCCGCCGGTGGTGTTTTGGAAAAAAAAAAAAAAAATTCTCCCTGATTAGATTGAGCTGAGGAGACTTGTAGGATTATCAGGACCTCGGTGCTGACGGGCATGCGGGAAGACACGCGAGGACCTGCGTGGACTCCGCACTGATCCCCCCCCCCACGCTCGCCCCCACGCAGGCCCACTGCAGAGCCCAGGGCGTTCTAGCTGGTTAAGGAGATGGCAGGTGAGGCGAAGTGACCCAAGGAAATGTTTTCTCACGTCCTCAGTGGGTTTCTTTCCTTTTCCTTTTTAACAGGTAGCGTGTCTAAGTTACGTGGCGGGAGGTGAATTTAAAACCCTCTGACGCTCTGCGATAACCTCGTCCTATTTTTAAAGCCTCCCTTCTCGCGATAAAATTGTATTTGGCAGTTTGCGGCAGTTACGGCATGAAAACATTTAAGGGTAAACCAGAAATATTATTGGTTGCCGCGTGAATGGAGCTTGCTATTTTAAGTTCGGAGGGATGTGTTTTGCCACTTGGAGGTTTTTCCACCAACAGACCGAGAAGCCAGTTGCATCTGCTCTTCACGACAGAACGCCGCCGCCTTGGATTTGCACTTTCCGTCCCTGCCGGTGCGTGGCTCTGGGCTGGGTATTTGCCGAGGATGGTTCAGAGGTGTTTACACCGTTCAACACATTTTTATCCTCGAGAAATACGTTCTGTTTAGCCCACTAAAGCAACCGTGTGTGGTTGCAGCTTATATCAGGCCCTGTTGCTGAGTGTTTAAAGCCTTTATCGCTTGCGAGGGGAGAAAAGGGATGTGATTAAAATGCAAATCATTTATGAAAAACTGAACTGCCCTTTTCATCTTGTCACCAGGAAGTGTGAATGACTGAAAAAGCCCCTCTGGGCCAAAAAGACCTTCAAGCTACCTGTTGTTTTTCCATCCTTGTTCAGTTCTCCTTCCCTGGCTAGCAACAGCCCCCACCCCCAAACACATACACACTTTTTGTAAAAGGTGTTAAAATGGTCTTAAATTCTGCAAGACGTCTATTGAATCCCAACTATTTTAGTTGAGGCTGACAAAAATACTAACAATAATTAGTAATCTTTAGCTCTGTAAACAGCACAGTCAAACAAATGACTTCAGGAGGCCAGGGCAGTCAGTGAACCTGCCTTCGCTATACCTTATTTGCCATCAAATTTCTTGACACATACCCGCAAAGTAGAGCTACTATCAAATGTTGAAAAAGATAAGTAAATCCTTCAAAATTTAAGTCAGATAAATGTGATACTTACATGTCTCGCCCGTCTTCAAACACCTCTAGATGGATTTCTAGCCCATACACAATAAGCACACATACATGCCAGGCGTGGTATGTTCTCTCCCAGCCCTGGAGAGACAAACATGTATAGTACCTCACAGTCCTGGCAGGGGAAGCTGACACATAAACAGGAAGTTCTCAGAGAACGAGCCAAAAATGAAAGGTGACACAAATTATTGAACAATGCCTAGAAGGACAGATTGGAAGCACTGACATTTTTACCTCAGCCATCTGATACTACCCATCACCACCGGCTGCTGTAGTAGAAATAGTACAGGGAGAAGAGAGAGGGCCATTGTGGATTTTTAAAAAGCACTAATAAATCTTGCGGCCCAGACTCACGTAGGTAAATGTTCGTTGCTGGTGTCTAAATTTAAGTAGTAAATGTTTCACAGCATTGGGGGCAAGGGGGTTAATTAGAACCTTTAGAATTTAGAGTGTAAATGGTAAATAATGTTTTTGTCAAAAGCTCCATTGGAGGTGGGGGCTGGAGAGATGATTCAGTGGTTAAGAGCACACGGGATGCTCTTCCAGAGGAGCTGTTTGATACCCAGCACCTACATGGAGGCTCACAACCATCTGTGACTCCTGTTCTAGGGGATCTGATGTTCTCTTCAGACTCCCTTGGGCACCAGACACACAGACATACATTTGAGCAAAACAAGTACATGAACGTCAATAAATAATTTTTAAAGCCTCAGTTGAATTCAGTCACATTCAGATAATCTCTCCTCACAGAGGTATTTTCTGTAAGATAGCAAGTATATTGACTCTCTACAAACAAAAGTAAAAGACAAAAGTAAAAATTTGGACACACATCCCATCCTTGGCATGTTGGGAACTCTACCCAGGGATTTACAAGGGCTCTAGCATCCTTTCTTTCTGGCTTTTTTTTTTTTTTTTTTTTTTTTTTTTGGTTGGTTGGTTTTTTGAGACAGGGTTTCTCTGTGTAACAGTCCTTCCTGTCCTGGAACTCGCTTTGTAGATCAGGCTGGCCTCGAACTCACTGAGATCCACTTCCTCTGGCTCCCGAGTGCTTTAAAGGCAAACACCACCACCCCAGCATCGCTGACAAGTGCTTTATTACTGAGAACTAGTGAGCTACGATCCTTAGCTCTACATGTTAGAACAGAGACAATCTCCCTGCACTCCCCAGGCTATCCTTCAACTCTCTTCCTCCCTCCTGACTGCTAACTTTACAGCTTTCTACCACCGTACTGGTTTCCCTGACCACTTTTTAAAAATCATTCTTATAGAACAGAGGTGGTGGTGCATGCTTATGAACTCAGAACTCAGGAGGCAGAGGCAGGAGCATTGCTACAAGTTCAGGGCAAAGGGCCAGCAGCCTGGTCAACATTCTTGGCCTACCTTGACTACAGAGTGGGATCCTGTCTCAATAAAAGAAAACTTGCTGGGTGTTTTTCATGTTTGTCAGGTTTTACCTTTTTTAAAAAAAAATATATAAATTAGAATAAAATAGAAAAACCTCTGCCTTGGCTATTGGGAATGGAGCTGTAATAAACACAGGAGTACAGATCTGTCTTTGGCATACTGAGTTTGTTGATGTTATCTCATTTGTTTCTAATTTGTATTTCCTTGTTGACTATTCATAGTGATGGGTAAACTAATTTTCTAGAATTAATCAGTACACAATGTATACACTTAAATGTATTCTGTAAATAAATACAATTATGTGTCAATGAAAATTAAAAGTTTTCCTTTTAAAGAGCTTTTGGAGCTAGAGATGTGGCTCAATCATTAAAAGCCCTGTCTGTACTTGTCCCTACAATCCATATCCTGTAACTCAGGCTCCAGGAGATCCAACACCCTCTTCTGGCTTCCAAGGATGAGTGTTCATAGGCGCACGCACGTGCTCACACACACACACACACACACACACACACACAATTAAATCTTAAAAACAAGAAGGGGTAGTTTATCCAATTTAAGTTTCTTAAGAAAAATTTTTAGGCCAAATTGCCTTAATAGAAATTTTGTTTATATGATTGCAGAATTGGTTCATTCTTTCTCAGTGAAGAAAGTACTTGTTCTGTAATTTGTTCCAAATTAGCATTTGAAACATTTTATCTGAATAAATCTTCTCATCCATGTTTTCATTGGTACCCTATTGCTATCAAATTCTCTTCAGCAACTTACTCAAAAGCAAAGATTTCATGGTTTTTTTTAAACAAAATTACTACCGTTTGACTAATTTTATTTTATTGGTTTTATTACTTATGTTTATAGCAACAAGTTCATAACTTTTAAGAAAATTCACATTTAGATTTATTTAAAATATAATTTGTAAAATAGGGCTGGAGAGATGATTTGGTGGCTAAGAGTGCTTGATGCTTTTCAAGCAGACCTGAGTTCTGGTCCCAACATCTATGCTGGGCTTCTAACTCTAGCTCCGGGGGATCCAAGGCCACATTTTCTGGCCTCCAAGGGCACCTGCACACACACTGTAAACATACACAGTGATAAACACATATACATAAATGAATAAAAATAAATATTAAAACGTTAGTAAGGTAGTTAAATGTGTTTTTACTCCATTTTTATGAATACAGAGTAACTTTAACTTGCTCTGAACTGTAGTCATGGACATATCACTTTGTCACACTCACTTGGCCTGAGTTTTGATTCCCAGAACCATAAATAAATAAGTAAATGGCTTTAACTCTGAAATAAGCAGTGTGTTTGATGATAGTCCAGTCAGTAAAGTGCTTGCCTTGCAAGATAGAGGACTCAAGTTTGATCCTCCAGAACCTACCCAAAAAATGGGGGGTCTGGGTATGGTGGCACAAAGCAGGAGACAGAGGGGACTGGAAGATAGGCAGATCCCTGGGACTCACTGGCCAGTCAGTCTAGCATACTTGGTGAGTTCCAAGGCAAGGAAACACTCTGACTCCAAAATATAAACACAAAACAAGCAAAAGGGAAGGAAACACAGTGGTTAGAACTTCAGAAGCAACAGCTGAAGTTGTCTTCTGGCCTCCACCCACGAGCTTGTGCCCACTTATATATGAACATATCATACAAAATGCATGCAAATATGTATTTTTTTTACTTTCCAGACCTCCTCACAGGACTTCCAAACTGTATTTTAGTAAAATGACAGTCAATATTTCCCTGAACTGCATTTTCTGTGCTCTTGTCATCTACATCATCCTCTCTCCTCCTTTCCTAATCTATTTTTTATGTTTCTTTTTGGTGTTTTTATTTTGGGTTTGATATTTGTTCAAGTGTTCATTCCTTGCATGTACTGATGTGTACACTTCTGTGGTACATGCATTTGGAAGCCCAAGGGCGTCTTCAACCTTAGGTGTCATTTCTCAATGGCTATGTACCTAATTGGTTTGTTGGTGTTTTTGAAGGGTTTGGTTTCTAGGATATTTTTGTCCGTGGTTGGTTGGTTGGGTTGGCTTTTTTGACCTGGAGCTCACCAAGTAGGCTAAGATAATAGTCTAGCAAGCCCTAATCATACACCTGTCTGTCTTTTCCTGGTGCTCTGGG